AAAAACTCGGTACAACTTTCGTATAACTCAAAAAAACTCGGTACAACTTTCGTATAACTCAAAAAAACTCGGTACAACTTTCGTATAACTCAAAAAAACTCGGTACAACTTTCGTATAACTCAAAAAAACTCGGTACAACTTTCGTATAACTCAAAAAAACTCGGTACAACTTTCGTATAACTCAAAAAAACTCGGTACAACTTTCGTATAACTCGGTATTGCTCGGTATAGCTCCGTATAACTCGGTATTGGATCTTCAAGTGATGGTATTCCACCTTATTGTTTGGTATTGCTCGGTATTTCTCGTTTTTTGGCTCAATTTGGCCTCCAACCAGACATTCCTCTACGTCCGATCGGAGGACGTAATAATTGTTCCTTGAATAAAGAGTTTTTATTGGAGGAGATTTACATGAACATGTTGGTAGAGAGGTAGATGATTTTAAAAACATTCATGGTGGTCATGAGTTTGGAACGATAAATGAATGTGGCAATACTATATTATATTTTTGTTTAGATTATCTTTTTTTAATTGCTAATGTCTTATTTAAGAAAAGGAATAAGCATCTCATCACTTATAAAAATAAATATAGTACAACTCACATGATTATTTTCTTATAAGAAAATTAGATCGTTTGAATTGCAAAGATTATAAAGTTATTATGAGTAAAAATCTATGTACCCAACATTGATTATTAGTTTTAGACATTAAGATAAAGGGACAAAAAATAAAAAATAAAGTAAAACCATATTCTAAGATTATATATGAGCATTTAAAGAATATTAACAAAAATATTTTTTAGAGTAAGATTTTAGATCTTAAGATTTTGTCTGTGCATGAGGATATTAATATTATGTAGGAAAAGTTGCTAGTGATATTAATAATATTGCAAAAGATGTGCTTGGAGTATCAAAGGAAAAAAACCCCTAATAGTAGAAAGAGTTGGTAGTGGAATCTAAATGTGCAATAAAAGATTAAAAATAAGAAGATTTATTATAAAATTGATTTAATTATAAAAATTATGATGATTGAAAAAGATATAAAGATGCTTGTAAGGAATCTAAGAAAGCAATATACGAAGCAAAAACCTTAGCTTTTAGTGATTTATATAATATATTATATACAAATGAGGGAGAAAGATATATATATAAGTTAGCCAAACAAAAAGATATGAGTAGTAAGGATTTAGTTTGAGTAAAATGTATTGAGAATGAATATCAAAAAATAATTTTCTTAGAACATGATATTCAACAAAGGTGGATGAGATATTTTGCTAACTTTTTAATGAAGATTGTGAAAATAAGATTAACTATAGTGACCTTAACACCCTAAATGAAAATAAAGATTTATATTTTTATCGACGTATTAGTAAAACCAAAATTAGTGAGACCTTAAAGAAAATGAATGGTGGAAAAGCTGTTGGACCTGATGATATTCCAATAAAGGTATGGAAATGCTTAGGAGATGAAGGAATTTTTTGATTTACTAAACTTTTAATATTATTTTGAAGACTAAAAAGATGTCAGATGAGTAGAT